GCTGCTATCTATCTATCTATCTATCTATCTATCTATCTATCTATCTATCTATCTATCTATCTATCTATCTATCTATCATCTATCTGTCTATCAACTTATCAACCTATATATTTCTCTATCTGTCATCTACCTACCTATCTAATCTACACACATACACACACACACTGTATAGACATTATAACGACACCTCTGGCGGACTGCAGCTAAACTGGCTCAAAACTAACCATGTAAAATTTTATTTTAGTTGAGATGTTCCAGCACCATTTGGGAGCTGATCCTGAGAAAAACTAAATATTGTCACATTTGGTTGATACTTAGATAGGAAGCACACCAGGAAAGGTTGACCACATTTTTTTTTCGGGGAAGGGGGGGGAGGAAGCTTGCCATGGCAAACCATTTCTATCCTACATAAAACTACATAGATGTATGTGTGTCTGCACAGAACAATCACATTCAGAAATTGGAACAGAGAACAAGAATTGGAAGGGACCCCCTGCTCAATGTTGGAGCATCCACAACTTCGGGAGGCAAGTTATTCCACTGATTTGATTGTTCTAACTATCAAAGAATTTCTCCTTAATGCCGTCATGGTTCTCTCCTTGATTAGTTTCCATCCATTGCATCTTGTCTTGGTTTCAGATGCTTTGGAGAATAGCTTAACTCCCTCTTCTTTGTTGCTCTTTAGGTTGCTCTTCTCTGGACTCTTTCTAGAGTCTCATTTTTACATTGTGGTGGCCAAAACTGGATGCCGTGTTCCAAGTGTGGTCTTACCAAGGCATTATAAAGTGGTATTAACTCTTCATGTGATATTCTATTCTATTCTGTTCTTATTCCATATTCTATTCTATTCTCTTTCCATATTCTCTTCTCTTCTCTTCTTATTCCATATTCTCTTCTCTTCTTATTTCATATTCTATTCTATTCTTATTCCACATTCTATTCTATTCTTATTCCATATTCTGTTCTAATTCCATATTCTTAATTCTATTCTATTCATATTCCATATTATTCTATTCTACTGTATTCTATTCATATTCCATATCATTCTATTCTCTATTCTCTATTCTCTATTCTCTATTCTCTATTCTCTATTCTCTATTCTATTCTATTCTACTGGTTGCCTCCAGAAGTTGTGGGTGCTCCATCACTGGGGGTTTTCAAGAAGAGATTGGACAACCATTTGTTGAAATGGTCTATGGCAGGGGTGTCAAACTCAATTCCATTGAGGGAAACATAGCATTGTGTTTGGCCTTGGGGAGCTGAGGTGGGGGTGGCCAGAGTGGGCATGGCCATCTTGATGTCAGGGGGTGCCTGTGGTAGCATGAGCGCTCTGCTAGCAAAAACGGACTCCCGAGCTCCATTTTCAGCTGCGACAGCCTCCTGCTGCCCCCTGCCAGCGAAAATGGAGCTCAGGAGACCATGCACAGCCCACCTGGGCCCCATTATCAGCTGTGATGGCCTCCTGCAGCCCTCTTCCAGAAGCTTCATTTTTGCTGGCTCCTGAGGCCAGATCTAAGCACCCGGCGGGCCAAATCTGGCCCCTGGGCCTTGAGTTTGACACCTCTGGTCTACGGTCTCCTGCTTGTTCAAGGGCTTGGGTTAAAAGATCTCCAAGGTCCCTTCCAACTCTGTTATTCTGTAATATAACTTCCATAGTTTACAGGAGACAGAAGGCAATCCACTCTGAATTGAATCCCCGATACCCACCTCTCCAGGATATGTTCTCTTCATGCCTTGCATGGGTAACGACTGGGGACGGGGACCAGGGTAAGCCTGCTGGGGCATCCTCTGCCCATGGTTGAAAGGGCTCATTCCCGGAGGTCTGGCCTGGCTCATGCCCATGGGTGGCCCGCTCATATTGGAAGGCGTCATGCTCGCCCCCATGGATGCCGGGTTCAGGTTGGCTGGCATGGAAGCGGGACCGCGAGGGCCAGGCTGGTTGATGAACTGGCTGTTGTAAGGCTGTGCCGGACCCATCTGGAAAGAGGAACAAACCTTCAACAGAAGAAGGAGAAGAAGGAGAAGAAAAAAAAGAATATAAAAATGCGACATGGACTTAAAAGGGGAAGGGGGAACCGTATGGGAGGGGGGACTCAGAGCTCTGTCGCATTTTTTTCAGGGCTGGTTCCTTTTTGGGAGGACCATCATTGCTACTGGGATTTGGAAAGGCAACGGACAAGGAGGCCATTCTCGATTTAATGGCGGTCGTGAAAACCCTCTTGCTTAACTTCCGTGGGCCCGGGAGTTATGTTCCCCATGCCTTTTTCAAACTGAACATAGGAGCTCGTCTCTCCTAAGGCCATGGGACAAAGAAATGCAACAGAATCATTTTGGCCAGTGGACTCGGCAATGTCTGGATGGGCTAGCAGCAAACTGGGCAGTGGTGAAATTCAAAAATTTTCCCTACTGGGTCTGTGGGCATGGCTTGATGGTCATGTGACAAGATGGGTGTGGCTTGGTGGTCATATGACCGGGTGGGCATGGCTGTACAACTGACTCACACACAATGTAAAAGGAGCTGGACTTCACACAAAGCGGCCCCTGCAACAAGCAGGAACATCACAGACAATCAGGCACAGCTGATTGTTGCACAGCTGATTGTCGGAACTATTTTATTTTTACTTTTTAAAGTATTTCTTTAACTACCGGTTCAGAAACTGGGTTTGATGACTAGAAAGAACTCATCTCCCGTGAACTTGGGCTGATCAAGATTGCTCCTGGTCAGTCTGGGAACCATCCGATTGGGAGGTTAAAGATAAAAATGTATGAAACCAGGAAGCACTCAATCTGCTTCTGCTAAGAAGCAGTGTAAACATGTCCATACCCATCAGCAAAAATGTGTGTGAATGCCTAAATTTTGGATTTGATTTCAGTCCTCGACTTACGACCACAACGGAGCTCAGAATTTATGTTCTTGAGTGAGAAGTTGGTTGAGTTTTGTCCCATTTTACAACTTTTCTTGCCACCTTTGTGAAGAGGGAATCCCTGCAGTTGTTAAATTAGTCATACGGTTGTTAAGCGAATCTGGCTTCCCTATCGACTTTGCTTGTCAGAAGGTCGCAAAAACAGATGACGTGACCCTGGGGACACCACAACCGTCATTAATATGAACCCGTTGTCAAGACTCCGCATGTAAATCACGTGATCCCGGAGATGTTGCAGGGGTCGTAAGTGTGAAAAATGGTCACAAGTCACTTTTTTCAGTGTAACTTTGGTCACTAAATGAACTGTAATAAGTCAAGGGCTAACTGTAATGATTATCTGAGACACGGATTTCTCTGTAGCTGTAGGAAGAGTTCAAGACGAAGGAAATGTCTTTCTATTTGCTTTTTCTAGTTGCTATTTGTTTTTGGTTCCTTGTTATTTTAATTTCTGCTTATTAGTTTTAATCTGGGTTGCCTTGTTGGCGGAGGGGACTCAGGGTACCCCAGCAGTAACATGAGGCCATTTGGCATGGTGCAAAGACAAATTAATTTTTGAGTTTTCACAAAAAAAATGTGCCCCCTTCAAAAAACAACAACAGTTCTCCTGTTGCTTTGTACTTAATGTCTGCTGAGTGTTTTGAGGTGTGTTTGTGTTCCTATGTCTAAGTTAAGTTTAAGTTTACTTTATTGTCATTGCACCTCGTACCACGAAATTAAATACCATCTTCAATGTACATCATACATAAGAAAACAATGAAAAAATAAAACAGAAGCACACATCTTTCACATTCTACACAATTGAATTGAAAGTCCATGATATTGCATTAGTATCACACTATGCAGTAGAATTCAATATAGTTACTGTCCTGGGATAGAAGCTGTTTTTCAGCCTATTTGTCCTTGTTTTTATTGTCCTGTACCGTCTGCCAGATGGTAATAGTTAAAAAAAAAAAGGTGCCCAGAATGAGATGGATCTTTAAGAATGTTTTGAGCTTTCTTAAGGCAGCGGGAGCTATAAAGCTCTTCCAAAGAAGGGAGAGGTCAACCAGTGATCCTCTGGGCAGTGATGTTGATCCTCTGAAGCGCTGTCCTATCTGCCACTGTGCAACTGGCAAACCATATAAAGGTGCAGTAAGTTAAAATACTCTCTACGGTGCAGCAGTAGAAAGTCACCAGCAGTGTTTCATTCAGTTGTTGTTTCCTGAGAAGTCTCAGGTCGTATAATCTCTGCTGGGCCCTTTTGACCAGTGCTGCAATGTTAGTGCCCCAGGTCAGGTCCTCTTTTATGATAACACCCAAAAACTTAAACTGGCCACTTGCTCCACTTGGTCTCCATTGATAAGCAAGGGCTGGTTGTCTGATCTATTCCTTCTATAGTCCACTATAAGCTCCTTGATCCTATTGATGTTAAGGACCAAGTTATTGTCTCCACACCACGAAAGCAACCGGTCCACCTCATCTTGAGGTGTATGTGGGAAGGAATCGCTCTTTTAAATTCTACTGTTTAAATATCTTTTTGTTGTTCTTTTAATTTTCTTTTTTGAACCCGTGTTTCAATTTTTGCAGGCGTTTCTGCAAATCTGGCTTAACAGGAAGTGGAAAAGTCTCTTTTACAAACTGCAACATTTGAAACAGAAACATATCCCAGGCCAAATGCAGTCTTTTCCTTTCCCCTTTGGCATTCCCTTCCCTTCACTCTCTGATCTGGGATAAAGCTTCTAATTCCTCTGTAATCTCTTTTCAAAATCCTTTCTGAGGTCAACTGAGACTAGCCCAACATATCCAATCTAAACCTTTTTTTTAAAGAAAAAAATTCTGGAAAAGCGGCAAGGGATGAAGACGCGAACAAGCAAAAAATAAGTGAAAGTGATGCTGTACACATCGACGAATTATGACTGATTTACAAAATTACTACTGCCCTTTTAGTAACACACTGTTGTGGCCAGAACAGCTGGCAGCAGATTCGGACAGTGAGGAGGTTGGGGAGGAACATGAGACAGTCCTGGAGTCTGGGGAAGTCTCTGATGAGGGGTTTGCATTGGAGGCAGAGAGGAGGGCAGCGTATGCCAGTTATCAGCTGCCTTCAGACTCAGACATCAGTTAGGCAGATGAACAGCTGGAGCCTGTTCAAAGTATGTGCATGCACAGAGTTGTCAGATGAAGGGGTAAAGAATAGGGGTCAACTTGGGAGTAAGGCCACAGTGGATGGACGATGAATGGCCCCTCCCAGAGAAAATAAAAGAGGAGCGAAAGGGGAGTGGAGTTTGCAGGAGACAATTCGTTGGCGTAATTGGTTCATGACTCTCCAAGATGCCTTGCCAAGTTCTGCAGATATTGGCTTGTCAGCTCTCCAAGCCAGATAAGGTCTGTGACTGTAAATCCTCCCTTGAAAGACTTTGCTGGATGTGAATGAGCAGAATTCACAGTCAATTAATAAAAGAGTTTTTTTGTTGGGACCAGGAGTTTACTCCATGCTCTTGGGAAGCCTAGGTCAGAACAACTAGTAGCAAAATAGAGGAACACGGTGTGCACCATTGGAAGACTTGAAAGAACAGGTTAGGGACAGATTATCTCAGAGAAGATCTACTTATCAGGTGGCTAGGAGTCCAAAATGACTTTATAGCCCGTAATTAAAACCAAAAATTGGTACAG